TAAGTCTGCACATAAGAGAATTGAAAACATGTATCCACACAAAAACCTGTACACAAATGTTCTTAGCAGCATTATTCATATAATTAAAATATGGAAACCACCCAAATGTCTATCAGTGGATAAACAAAACTGTTATATCTATAAAATGGAATATTATTGAGCCTTAAAAAAGGGATGAAGTACTGATACATGGTACAACATGGATGAACCTTAAAAACAATATGCTAAGTGAAAGAAGCCAGACACAAAAGGGCACATATTGTATGATTCCAGAATGATTTGCAGAAAAGGCCAAATCTGTAGAGACAAATTAAGTTAGTTGTTGCCAGAGACGGGGGGGAGGGGGGATGAGAAGTGACTGCTAATGGTTATGGGTTTTCTTTTTGAGGTGATGAAATGTTCTGGAATTAGTTAATGGTGATGGTCGTACAGCATTGTGAATATACTAAAAACCACTGAATTTTACACTTCTTTTTTTTCTTTTTGTGCTTCTGAATTTTACACTGTGAAAGGGTGAATTGTCTGGTATGTGAATTATATCTGAAGTGTTAAAAAAAATGAAAGAAATCATCATAAGACACAACAATTTGACTATATGTTCCTAATGTTCCTTGAGGATGTACTCAAGGACAAAAAGAAAAATATATATATATAATATGTTAACTGTTTTCAGTAATTTTTAAAATTTTAAATTAAGTAAATTTAAAAAATAAATTTAACACAGAATTCTTAGCATTTGCTGTTAATTAATTTTCTATAAGTTTAAAAAATATTTAAAAATCAAGTAATTTCCTTTTTATAAAACTCCATCTGATGTGAGGGAGGTTTCATTTGAAAAATAAGGGCAGGACTTATTTTTCTTGTAAGGTATCAAGAATGTAGTGTTCTACATGTTTTTTAAGCCCTTTAAAAATTACAAAATAACCCATGCAGAAAAGTTCATAAAACAGAGTTTAGGGGCCGGCCCGGTGGCGCACTGCTACAGTGCGCCGCTTGGGAGTGCGGTGGCGCTCCCGCTGAGGGTTCGGATCCCACATACAGACCGGTTCCCGCTCACTGGCTGAGTGAGGTGTGGGCGCAGCACCGAGGGTTGCGATCCCATTGCCGGTCCCAGTCCGGTACTGGCGCGACACTGAGGGTTGCGATCCGTTGCCGGACACGAAAAAAGACAAAAAGGAAAAAAAAAAATAAAATAAAACCAAAAAAGTTAGATCCTATTTCAAGTCAAACAGATCCAATTCTTTCAACCGTCCCTTATATTTCATGGTTTCTAAACTTTCGTTTTCTCATTTTTCCTTTGTGCTACACGTTTCACTTTGTCAGTCTCTTTAGTGATCAGAATTTAAGACAGTTCTCCTAGTATGATCTAAACAGGACAGAATACTGGCCCCTAGTGTAGACTTTAAAACATCTTACCATACCTTGAAAGTGGTTTTTGTCATAATCATGTCAAATGAGGGCTGGAAAGCAGCAGATACTCCTAGATTTTTATTTTTACTTAACTACTGCTAAACCATGATCCTCTACCTCATTTTAGTGCTTCAGAACCTAAATGCATGACTTCCAGAGTTTAATGAATAATGAAATAAATGAAATATAACCATCCAGGAAAAAAATAGAACATTTTGAGCACCCCAGGAAATCCCCCAGCATGACCTTTCCTGATCATAATTCGTTTTAAAAATATAGTTCCTAGTGTCTTTTGAAATTTTCAAACTTAACTTTTATTTCCTTGAGATTAGTGTGCATTGTTTTATTTTCAGCTTGGATCTTGCTTTGATGTGAATATATGTGTTTCCCACAAAATTCATATGTTCATATGTTGAAATCGTAATTCCCTAGGTGATTTGAAGGTCGCACCTTTGGGAGGTGATTAGGTCATTTGGGCACAGCCCTCGTGTGGGATTAGTGCCCTTACAAAAGAGCCCGAGACATACCCCTTGCCCTTTCCACCATGTGAGGACAGAGCGAGAAGACAGCTATCTATGAGCCAGGAAGTGGGTCCGCACAAGACACCAAATCTGCCAGCATCTTGATCTTGCACTTTCCAGCTACTGGAACCTTGAGAAATAAATTTCTGTTGTTTATAAGTTGCCCAGTCTATGGTATTTTGCTATAGCAACTTGAATGGACTAAGACAGGCCTGTTAATTTCAATCTCTAGAATTCTTAGTGTCTTTTATTATCTGTTATTTCTATTGGTTCTGGTTTGTGATGTCTAGGCTCCTAACATACCTCTTTATTTCTGTTTGAATCCTGGGATGATGTTGTTTTCCTCCTGAGAGGATTTTTGTTTATTTTTGACAGGTGGTCAAGAGCATACATAGTCAAGGACAGAGATCTGCAAACTTTTTCTGTAAAGGACCAGACAGTAAATATTTTAGGCTTTGTGGGCCATAGAGTTTCTGTTGCACCTACTTGACTCTTTCGTTGTAGTGTAAAGAATTGGTAGATAATATATAAGTGAATGGCATGGCTGTGTTTCAAAAAAACTTTATTTATGGACATTGAAATTTGAATTTCATATAATTTTCATGTGTCATGAAATATTTTTCTTTCAATATTTTCCCTCAATCATTTAAAAATTGTAAAAAATCATTCTTAGCTTGCAGTCCGTACAAAGGTAGACAGCAGGGCAGATGTGACCTACAGGTCTTAGTTTGCCAACCTCAGTCTAGGGCCAGGGTTTGAGGTTTACTGGGCCTGTAGATAAGAAACTGTGAACCCAGTATAGCTCTTTAGGGTATCATCCCCAAATTGGAAGGGGACAGAGAATACTTCAAGGTCCCTTAGTGAGCTCCAAGTATTGGTGACAGCAAGAGTTGGCAGAGCCTAGCCTCTCTGAATCAGCCCATGCTGATGCCTCAGGGCAAGAGCCAGCCAAGTACAGGCTCACTTTTCTGGGTTCCAGTCCTTTGCCAGACCTCAGCCCAGTAACTCCTCACTGCCTTGGCCATTTTATGCCTTTAAGAAGTTTTATTTTTTTCAGCCAGTTTTTTAAATTGTCTTCAGCAGGAGGGTTTGTCTAGATTACTTATTCAGCCAATGCTGGAAACCAAAAGTGTTTGATATGTTTTAAGTTTAGCTAGTTTTCATTTTTTTCAGATGCCTGAGTTCAGGGAGGAGATAAGTGGAGTTGAGGAGGAGAGAGGGCTGAGAAGTATAAAGTTATAGATATTATTTGCCCTTGCAAATGGGAAAAGGTAGTATAAATAAGTTAAATGAATATCCCTAAACCATGCTTAATCTAATTGTTTTTTGTCTTTCTCTTTCAAACATCTTACAAGAACAAGTAAATGGCAAAATTGGCAGATTCATTTTGACCAATTAGTTACTGAAGGCATATATGAAACATTAGTGCAGTAGCCATTTAATAATGAGAAAATTCATATAATGACTAATTAGTTTTTTGAAAGCCTGGGTATCTATAAGGAGGGTCTTACAAATGTGCTCCTTTAATCTAAAACTAAATAGAAAGTAGGGAATTTACAAGTTCTGTGTATTTAACACTAAATTTTTATGCTCTTAGGCAACCCTAGAGACACCATCTTTTGTCTTAAGTAGATCACAAACATACACGTGATGCAAGGGGCTGATTATATGCCTTATCCCCCCACTTGCCAACTTCCTTCCCCCTCCAAATTTTCGCCTTCAAAAGTTATCATACGTCTGCTCCAGATGCATTTTAGAATAAAACTGCAGAAGGCTAAGGTTTTACAGGTAGGTGAGCATGGAAGATCTACGGGTATTTTTTCACATCTTGGGAATCATATACAAACTGTGCTACTTTCTCTTCATTGCACCTTTTCTCCCCCTACATCACTTAATACTCCCTTAGATTTCTCCCCAAATCTTTGCAGTCTCTCGCACATTCTTTATCCTTTTCTTCTAATTCTTGTTCAGTTATCTTAAATTACTCTCCATCTCTTAATTCTGTCCAGGAGTCAAACAAAATAGTAGCTACCATTTATTGAATACTATGGTTTTATGAACAGTGTTGTATTTGTTTATGATAAACCATGTCAAAGAATAGAAAAGCTAAACTTTTTTTTTTTTTAGCGGCTGGCAGGTATGGAATCCAAACCCTTGACCTTGATGTTACAAGGTTGTGCTGTAACCAACTGAGCCAACTGGCTAGCCTGTAAAAGCTGAACATTTATAGTGAAATTGGATGTAATAGAAAATGGTATCACAAATCATGTTTTGGTGCTACAATTAGGAGACACTTGGGTTTAGTGAACTACTGATATGATCTGCCTTGGGATTGTTGATGCTTTTGTTGGATTATGTATGTGTGTGTCTTTGAGCTACAAAGTAATACACTGAAAAATTGCCAGCATCATCCAAAATCCTTTGCAATGCCAGGAGTTGCCCTTAGAATTTCTCTAAAAGTTCTTCTTTACCTCATTATTTAAAGAACTTTATTTTGCTTATAGGTTTGGCGGAGTTAGGTTGGGAATCTAAGATATATAACATTCAAGGGTTGGCAGGTTTGCTCAGTTGGTTAGAGTGTGGTGTTGTAACACCAAGGTCAAAGGTTCATATCCCCATACCGGCCAGCTGCCCCCCCCCCAAAAAAAAGATATATAACATTCTAATGGAAAAATATTTTTAAGTTCCAAAATGAATGTCTTAAACGTGGACTTTCACAGCACAAAACTTCTTTGACCTTCTATGATAGTAGTAGTTCACCACAACCACTAATTTTCATGGTTAATTTTCTCATTGTCATAACAGAACACTTGATTTTAATCTGACTTGTATGAAAGATGATGAATTTTTACTCTATTTTTTTGAAAGCTATAACATCAGGTGTCTGTAGTGTCTTCAGTTTTTCAGAGTTAAGGTATATTCTAATTATTGATGACTGTATGTTCCGACTCTACAGAGAAAACTAATAGAAAAAACTACTCTCTTGTGTCTCTGTAGCCCCTTAGTTTTTTTATGTGCTTCTTAAGTTATTTTTTTTTTATGTGCTGCTTCTTAACTTATTTTTTTCAGGTTGTACCAACAACAGATCATATAGATACAGAGAAATTGAAAGCCAGAGAACAGATTAAGTTTTTTGAAGAAGTTCTCCTGTTTGAGGATGAACTTCATGATCATGGAGTTTCAAGTCTGAGTGTGAAAATTGTGAGTATTATGACTTTAGGTTAAAATTAACATATTTCTTCCATTCTTACCATTGCGCAGAAATATAAGACTCGCTTTGAATTACAGTATCTCTACATGATATCATGTACAATTTCACTTGGGTCTACAGTATATCTTATTAAATATCCACTAAAAATTTCACAAAATCTTAGTATATTATTAAGATTTGCCTGGTCACTTTGTAGGTTTTTTTTGTGTATTATTTAACTTGAATGAAGACTATGGTTTAATTTTTACATTTCGAATTTAAAGTGATGTTGGTAAGGATCTACAGACGGCAAGGTGGATGTCATTTTAAAAGATGGCCCTCATGTTAGGATTACAGTGCTAAACTACCACTTCAATTTCCAGCCTTGAAGTAGAAAATAGAAATGACAAGTATAGATTCTCTTTTTCCTTTTGTCTTGTTTTCTATCAGTGGAGGGCAAACTACGTCCATAAACAATGTAATTGGTGGGACATGCTTAGAAGGAATAATAAATAGGCCACTAGCAGTTACTCATTTGTTTACTGCCAGGTTGTAATTGAATTTCTAACACTTTTCAGAAAAACCTCAACTGAAACTTTTTACTAAATGCTTTATTCTTTAAGACCCCCTCACCTCCTTTGTAAGGCCCTTCACAACTCCCCTGGGCAGAGTTAAATATCCATTTTTCATACCCCTATAATAAGGGGTACTATAATAATACTTTATTTTTTAACTTCTCAATTATAGCAGTTACCATGAGGTCTGTCAAAGACACAGATCAGCATCAAACATTGTTCTTGGAGCATAATGATTGTGGGTGTTATGATTTAAACAGTAATTATGAAAATAGTGATAAAAAAGCAATAAATTTGTTTTAAAGTCAAATTTTTCTGTAGAATCATAGGGTTTTGGAATTGTTTTTTTTTCCTTTTTGTCTTTTTTTTTTACTGACCGGCAACGGGATCGCAACCCTCGGTGTTGCGCCCGCACCGCGCTCAGCCAGTGAGCGGGAACCGGTCTCCACATGGGATCCGAACCCTCGATGGGAGCGCCGCCGCGCTCCCAAGCGGCGCACTCTCTAGTGCGCCACCGGGCCGGCCCAGGGTTTTGGAATTGTAATGAAGTTTTAGAGAATCATTTAGTCCAGCCTCCCTATTTTATAGCCAAACATTGCCCCAAAAGATTAGTTTATCTAAGTTTGTGAAACTAATTAGCTACAAAGTTTTCCTTGTACCATCTAATATATATCATTATTTTAATATTAGATAGTTATTTTTGTTGCACCTTACTCCTTTGCTCGCTTATAACTATCTTCGAATTTACTTTTTTTATTTAGGGTTTATTCAGTCTCCAACTCATCCAGTCATATATCTTTGCATTTGCCTATCCATCTACTGATTTGACAAGGCTGAATGTTTATTATGAGTTTGCATATCTGGGTGTGCATTTGCATCTAAGTGGGTGGATATATCTGTGATGTGTGTGCGTGGGTAGTTATATGGGGAGCACATGTGTTTTTGTAGATGAAGGAGTTGGAGAGGATATGGGCATAAATGTATTATTATATGTGTACCTGAGTAAATAATAAGTCTCAAACTAAAAAGTAGTGTCATCTTAAAAATGTTTTTCTTTTTACCTAGTGTAACTTTTATAAGTTATGTGACAGGATTGCATTTTTAAGAATGTGTGGAGAGGTTTTTTTTTTAGAATACTATCTTTACTGGTTTCTTTCGAACATTGTAATAGATGTTGCTCTAAATAAAATAAATGCCATAGTGCCTGGCTTAGGGACAATTGGGTATTGGACAAATGGAGCAAGGACTAGCCTGGTAAATATAGATGTATGGATGTAAATATGGAGAAACTAGGTATATGGTGCTTGGGAAGCTGAGGAAGTAGAACTTTTCAAGGAGGGCACCAAAGTCAGTATCATGCTATAGAGAAGTCTTATAAGCTTAGACTGGGGTGGTATCTATTAGACTAAAAATTTTGTTTTTTGGTTTTGGCAATTAGATAGTTATTCACTTTGGCAAGAACAATTTAAGTTATGTGATTAGGGAGTAAATAAAAGATGTGGATGTGGAGATAGAGTGTAGATGTAGACCTAACTTTAAAAAAACTTCCTAGGATAGGACAAGAAACAGGTGTGGCTAAGAGAATATGTGATTGACAGAAGTGTGTGTGTTTTTTCAAACACAGGGAAGACTTTAAAATGTCTAGGTGCTCACAGGAAGGTGCCACTTTTAGAGAGGGGAGAAAATGGATGGAATGAGGTTTCTGAAGATGAGGAATAGGAGAGGACAAGGAAGGCTTTGAGCCTTTACTGTATATGAGACACCACGCTAGGTACTTACCCATATTTTTTCATTTATTCCCCAGGAAAATTCTATGCAGTGAATACTTTCATATCTCCATTTTACAAATGAGGAAATGGAGGGTTGGAGATCTTAAGTAGCTTGCCCAAAATCAATCACATAAGTGAATCAGTTTGATCTCTGTGCTCTTGCTCATACTCCTCTAGGCTGTAGATCGTGAGTAGAAGGGTTAGCCTTTGACAGAAGAAGAGAGAGATGCTTCTTCAGTGGTGATAGGAGGAAAGGGGAATGGGATGTAGGTAAATCTGTCTGTATTCCAGTGATTTCCAAATCTAGAGTTGATCAGAATTACCTAGACAAATTAGAGATTTAAGTTATCTTTTTAACACTATAGGGCAAGGAATGTTTTTTATTTGACTACACTTGGTACACTTGCTGTATATTTGTTGACTGAAAAAATGGATAGATATATGTGAAAATGGAGGTTGTAGGTTAGGGAGGTGGTTCCTGGTCTGAGTTTTAGATGTATGAATTTCTCTAGCCAGATGAAGAGAGGGCCTGGTGGTAAAACAAGGTGATCACTGATGTATTTTCCAAGCTGGTGGTTGTGAGAATTGGTGATTGATTCAGGCTTTCAAATTACCCACTACTGCTAGAGAATGAAGTATGATGATCATTTCCAAAGCCCTCACTAGATACCTTCCACTTAAAGCTCACTTAAGAAGACCACTTAACTGGCTTTTTCCCTAGAGCTTTCCCTGACTTAAAATCTACCTTTTCCTACTTGCTTTCAAATAAAATCCATACCATCACAAATTATTTTTAGTTTAACAAAGCTTTCCAAGGTTCTATATATTTTTAAGGACTACCTTATATCTTTTATTTATTGCTACGAGTTTGACTGAGTGTATAGAATATATGGAAATTAGTTTTTCTTATTTATCACATGTGGGTTTTCCCCCTTTTTAAATTATGTCACTTTCAAAATGTTCCTGGAATTATCTGGGGTAATGGGAATAGTATTCATTGATTTTACTTGATGTTTTAACTTTGGCTAGAAAACTGCTAAAGGGTTTTAATTGTTTTAGAATTGCAATACTAGTTGCTTATGAATGTTTATTTCTCAGTTTCCATACTAATTATAAAACACTCTGAAAAGAAATGCTATTGAAATAATGGAAGCTACCTATATGACAAAGTAATTTATTTTAAATCCCTGATATTGTTGGATAGAGCCTTTTAGGTTACTCTTAACTTATTTTACTGTTTGAAGGTTTTGAAGTGTTTTTTCTACCTTGTTCTCAATTCTCCTCCTAGGCAAGTTTTATCAAAAAAAAAAAAAAAAAAAAAAAACCCAACAAAAATCCAACAGCATAATTTCCTTATAGTACAGTTCTCCAGGGAAAAAAAGTAGATTTAGAGCTCTGTGCACAGTGAAATCTGGGATGTTTTGGATTTGCTCCATTGAGTTTATTACACGTTTTGGTAACTATGTGAGCAGCATTATCTACATCTAATAAAAAGATATTTGTTTCAGAAATTAATTTTCCTTTTATATTTCTAAATTAGCTTCTCAGCAGTGTTTGCTCTTCAGTTAGAATTTTGTGTCCCTAACATTCTACTGTCCTTGTAGGGTTTATGGCTTTTATGGCTACTCTAATAATAGAAATCTAAAGAGAATCTATTTGCATGGTATGTTAGTTTTTAACTTTCAAAGAAAAGAAATGTCCTGTTTACCAAATACTGTCAGTACTGTGGGGTTGTGTAATGGCTTTTAGGGCTAATGATTAGTTTCATTTTGCATAGTCAGAAGTGAACATTGTCCACCTTTTGTTTCCCTAACCCCATCAGAATGCAGAAATCTCAGAGCCTTTTTTCTAGCAAAGATAGCTTCTAGCCTCCTTTTCATTCAGCAAATAGTTAAAGAGTACCTGCTGTGTGCTAGATACTTTTCTAGGGATACAAGTGATGAACAAAGCAGGTATTTTGTCTTTTATGGAGCCTACAGTCAAGTGGAGAGAGAGGCATTAAGCAAGTAAACACATAAATGAATATAGTTACAAATCTGTTAACTTGTAATGGAGTACTATGAGAGAATAACAAGAGGAATCTTATTTGATATGGAATGGTAAGAAAGGCCTCTGTGGAAGTGACATTTACAATGAGATCTAAAGGACAAGTAAGCATTAGCCAGGAAAATATCCCAGGTAAGGGAACAGAGTTCGTAAAGGTCCTAAGGCAGGAAAGAGCTTGGCCTGTGGCTGGTGACTATCACTACTGGTTTATCCTGTTATTTCTTCTTCATTAATGTAGCCCTCTGCTTGTATGGAATTATAGGTAGTTCCCTGAATATGTCTAGCTATTTCATGCCTCAGTACTTTTTGTATATGCTGTTTCCTCTTTCTGGAATTCTCCTTTCCATCCCCAGTGTTCTTTCCATGGTCAGCTTAAGTGTTGCCTTCTGTGACTTTCTTCAGCAAACTAAGGTACTTCTTTCTCTGAGTGCTTATTGAACCTTGTGACTACCTCTGTTGTAACAGCTACTGTATCATTTTATCTGTTTTACTGATTCCCTGGTTGATAAACTTTTTGAGCACTGGAATTCTATCTTTTCATTTATATAAATCCAAGACCTACTATAGTAAGAACTTGGCACTTAGTAGACAATAAATATTTACTCAGTAAATGGTCAAGCACATTCTTTTTAAAGACCTAATACCTCACACCCCATTCAACCCTTCCCTGCCTGCCACCAGGACCCACCTTCTTACTCTGTCTACTAATTCTGGCTTTCTCCAGTAGTTATAATTGGGAAGCACAGCAATTTGTAGATGTGCCACAGATGAAAGATGTTAAGAACATGTTATAATGTAACAATAAACCGGTCTTTGGTAATATGAAATAAATGCCTAATTGGTTGCACTGAATTAGAGCAGTCCATTTAAGGGTTCTTGCCTTTATTTTATATAAGGTGAATAAAAGTGAGTAGTGACAAAGAACTAGGTTGTTCTTTCATTTTGGTTCTACTGGTATTAACATTTACTATCAGTACTACCATTTTAAAAAATTAACGTTGTAATTTTCACATTACTTGGGTGTGATTTGAGTGTTTTAAACCTCAATATCTTTTGACCTAGGGAAAATATTTTTCTATTGTAGGAAACTGAAACCACTGTGTTAAATAATTTGCACGAGGTTTTGAGGCTAGTTTGCAGCTAGGACAAAGAACTTCTAGTTCAGAGATTTTTATATACTGCTAATTCAGCCCTCCTTCGATGCTTTTTTTAAAAATAATTTTTCTTTTAGCATAGTAATAAAATATTGAATTTTCATTAAAATATTAATGTAATAATTTTTTTCAGAGAGTGATGCCTTCTAGCTTTTTCCTGCTGTTGAGGTTTTTCTTGAGAATTGATGGGGTGCTTATCAGAATGAATGACACGAGACTTTACCATGAGGTACCTATTCTCATTTAATGAATATACTGATTGATATTGGACCTGTTTATGTTGTTTCACTGTCATTCTGAGAATAAAATTAAATAATGCTTTGTATTATATGGCAATCCTTTTAACCTTTAAGTTTGGTTGTTTCAGATTCACTGTTGACTGCACAGTGTTATTGAAATATACCTTCTTTTCCAAAAGTTCTGGTAGCTGAAAATGTTTTCTGAAAAATACTCCATAGTGGGGGGCATCTGATACTTTTAAAAAATTTTTGTATGTACTCAATCTGTGTTTAAGAAAACTGTCCTTTAACTGTTACCGGTGTTTACAGTATATATTGTTTATATAATGTCATGATGTTAGAAATACCAATTACATGGCCTCCTGAATTTTGTATTACGTAATTATTTTGATGACTTTCTAAAATTTGAAAGGTATGTTCCATTTGAAGGAACTAGCAATTATGCAGGACTTTAAAAAATGTGAAGAAAAGGGGGAAGATTAAATTGAGTCATGAAAATTCCTCTAGTAGCTTTACAGCAGCCTGTCTTTTCTGAATGAATTTTTAACTTCAGATTTGTGATTATGTAGAATGAGGAATTAGAGACCACCATGTTAGTCATGTTATTCACAGTAATGGTTAGCTCTAATAACAACCCTCTGAAATCAGTGCTGTTATTATCTCTGCTTTATAGCTGAGGTTACCAAGGCAAAGGAAGGTTAAGTAACTCGCCCAAGTTATACAGTTATAGGTGGCAGAACTGGAATTTGAACCCAGTAGGATGGGATTGAATTGGTGTTTTCCCAAATCTTTCACTTACGGATAGTTTTTTTTTTCTTGAAATAACACCATGACTGTGATGGACCTTTTTTTCTTTTTAAAAGTGATGGCAAAGTAGGCTGCATTTTTCTCCCTCAAAGGGTAAAATCTAAATTTTAAAAATACTGTGTTTTAACTCAACAATATTGTGTGTTAGGGATTTATTCTAAAAAGACTTTTTTATACACAAATCTACAAATATTAATCAGACAATTGCCCAGAGTTGTGTGTACATGAACAACATGTTCATAATAGAAGGAAGGAGCTTAATGCCCATTAATGGGCATTGATTAAATTGTTTCTTTATATAGTAGAAAATATTTAAACATTAAAATTGATGGCAGAGAATTATATTTAACTAATTTGGAAAGGTGTCCATCTCAATGTCAAATTTTAAAAAGTGGATATGAATCTATTTATATATGGTTTTGTGTAGAGATTTCTAAATGTTAAAGATAGTGTTATCTCCAGAAGGTGTGATTGCTGATGATTTATGCTCTCTTCTTTTTACTTTTATATTATTTTATTTTTTTATGTGAGCAGTAATCTGTTTTTATTAATATAAAAGATTGAAACCTTACGGGAGTATAATTTTGAGGGTTTTCTTTTATTGAAAAGTGTTTCACCAAAAAGCAAATTGAAATAAATTTCTGTTCTAAAACCTAACTTAAAAAATCTTTTATTTCCTTAAAAAAATCTTAAATGGGAAAAATTGAAATACAGAAAAGGTGATTTTAAGTTAGCAATTTAGCAAGAGTTTTGTGGAAATGGGAGAGAATAAAAATTTTTAAGCATCCAATTTGGAACATAAAAGTAGCCACAGTTATGTAGATAAGTGATAATGAACTTAAGGAAGGTGGTTGCTCAATTGGTAGAGCATGGTGCTGATAACACAAGGTCCAGGGAATCCCTGTACAGCTGGCTAAAAAAAAAAGAGAGCTTAAGGAAAAGATGTAATTACAAACTTGAAGTAATAGTAAAATATCTTGCATATCTCATTTACATACATATATATATTCTTTCAAAGTAAAACCTTTGTGTTTCTCTTACATAGTAATTATTAAGTCTGTTTACATATGTGTATCCAGTATTACTGTAATTTATAAGAACTGGAAATAATAATTCAGAATTCTTGATGACAAATAGGAGTTATCTCTTTAAAACAAGATGTTCTCTTCAGACCTCTTGCTACTTTCACGTCCTGTTTTAAAATGTAGGCAGTCTGTTTAATAGAAAGGAATTTGTAAGTAAATATAAATAAATTTATGGCAACTTTTAAATATTTAAATATAGGCTGACAAGACCTACATGTTACGAGAATATACATCACGAGAGAGCAAGATTGCTAATTTAATGGTGAGTATATAAATTTCAGTTTTTAGAAGTTGAATTTTAGTTTTGTTTTAAGTATGGTATCCCCCAACACCATCCCATTGACCTGTATTTACATCCCTAAACTCATTCATTCACTTCATAGGGCTCTACAGGATGAATCCTACTGACGTATAACTTTTATGAGCTTACCTAAAATACAAGAACATTCAGAGCTGTTAGGTGCCTTAGACATCATCCAACCAAATTTCCACATTTCATTCTAGAGAAACTGAGACCCAGAAGTGTGACTCACCCAAGGTCACATAGCTTGTTAGTGGTAGATCTGCAACTGGCACCAACTGGATGTTCTTTCTACTTACCACCCTGCCACCTATAATTTCTTTCTACACAGTCTCCTCCCTCCCACCCTGCCTGCCCCCATGTAGTAATTGGTGCCATGACTTGGTTTTTTGGTATAATTTTTTAAAAAATTTTGCTCTCCTGGGACTTATGAAGGGCTTCCTTAGAATTTAAGATTCTAAAATGGGTTGTTTAAAAAGTGATACCTTCCTACAAACTTGATATTCTTTTTTCACTCTTAGTACTTATTTCTGTCTGGGTATAGAGTATACGTGGGCTAGAAAAGTTACTTAGATTCTATTATAGACTACATACTGGGCCCTAACTGAAGACTAGTGCTTTTAAATTATAGAAGCAACAGGGATTGGGGATTAGATTATGATGTATTAAATTCTTAGGATATTTTTGGGAGCATTATAAATTATATAACCCTGTGACCTTTGAAGAAATTTAGTAACAAAGTTAAATGATTAAGTAACAGGAAGTACCTGTTATTTTTAGGATCACTTAATGGTGATCCTTATATGCATATATTATACCTGATTTTGAAATTGCTATGCTTAATGAATGCTTAAACCAAAACATTTTCAAAAGTGTCAATACAATAACTGAGTATATGCTAATATGATTTGTGTGTTTCCCAGCATGTTTCACCTTCCCTCTTCACGGAACCTAATGAAATATCACAGTATTTACCAATAAAGGAAGCAGTTTGTGAGAAGCTAATATTTCCAGAAAGAATTGATACTAACCCTGCAGACTCACAAGAAAGCACACCTGTGGAATAGAATGTGATACAACATATACTCACTGTGGAATCTGACTGGACACCTTGGCTATTTGTAGGAGGGTATTTTTATTATGAGAATTAATTGCCTTGTTTATGTGCAGATTTTCTGTAGCCTTAAAGGGAGAAAAAATAAATAAATAAAAGATTATTTCAGGCAGGTTCCACTCAGCTGCTGTTTGTACTATCTTCAAATTCATATTCCAGATTTATATTTTCTGGAGTTAAATTTGGATTTCTAAATTGCTCCAAAGTGGGACCTCAGCAGTAGTGATGTTTGTACGTCTCATGAGCAGTGGGTATAGTCTGCGTCCATCATGAAACACTATCTTCTACCACAAGGAGGTTAATTTAAATGACTGAATCCCAACACCTTGTGAGTTTCATAGAATTCCTGATCATGCATGTTCATGTACTGACTCTTCACTTTGAACTTTCTGATGTTTATTTGCACTTCTGGAGAGTCATGACTTGCCACCTAGGAAATTAATCTCATAGTTTAGTGATCTTCATCCACAAAATTTAAAAAATATATTTACCCCTAATTTTAAATTGGCTTTGAAATTTAAAGAAAGTTTTAGACACAGAATCAAAAAAATGTAGTTGTTTGGAGAACTTAAGCTATTATGTACATGGAAACATGAACATGGTTTACCACAGACAGGTAGGATGTCAGAGCTATCTTTCCTCCATCTTTAGGTGCTTTTTCTTGTATGTGATTTTACTTGTATTGACATTTTTTTTTATTTCCATCTTCCATGCAACCTCAGAGTGAATAAATCCCTTAAATTTGGTATTGGTCCTAGAAAGCTTGAAGGGTTTATAGTAAGGGGTTGTTTTTAGCAAATATTAAATCAATCCCTAAAGCAACAAAATATTAATATTTGAGGATATGGAGGAGAAGGGGGCTTATTTTAAAATATAAAAGCCAGTTTTTGTTTTTTTTAAGTCATGTTTTTAACATTGCAGGTAATCCAGTAAAATATAATTATTAGTACAGGACCTAGATAGTACAGAAAGTAGACAAAAGTGTACTTTTCAAATCCCTTTGGTTGTTTTGATAATGACCCTTCAAACATTTTTTATTCTTTTCTGACTTTCTGAGTGGTCTTCATAAAGTGAAAAGTGATTATAAAGCACCAAGTAAGTAATTATTTGAAGTGGATTTTTAAAAATAATTTTTTAAAGAGCAGGAGGAAAAAAATCACCCCTTTTGTTGTGGTTTGAAATAATTTTTATACATGTTTCCACTTGCTGATTAAATCATAAATATGAATATTTAATTGGAAGTATTAGCAAAACTCTACAGGTATTAGCCTAAAGATAAATTGTAGTGAAACAAACACACTTGGATATTCATTCATCATTGCTCAAACTTTGGTGAATTGGTCTGAGCCAAACAGACAGGGTGTATTTTATTAGCTATGTTTAGTCACAAATAGTTTGGTATTTGTCTGCCTTCTGCATCACCTCCAGAGTACAGGAAATCAGGATTTTGTTGGCTTTAAGAAAAGAGATGGTATGTTCACTGTATATTATATATACCTGTATTTAATGTTTTCTCTTAGGACAGGAAAGTGTGTGTGTGTGTGTATAAGTGTGTATATGTATCTGTACACACACATTGTACTCATCTTTCTGTTTTTGTCATGCAGATTTGAACAGAATAGACTGTTCATGCAAATTTTAAGAAATGAAAAACTTGTAAGAATATTCATTAGTTGGAGTTTCTGGGCAACATCATATTAAACACACATGCACACACTTTTTTTTTTTTTTTTAACTTGTTGATTTAGATGTCGTGATCCCTGAAATAGTCTTAGATTACTTCTTTTGAGAGTCTTGTTAAAAATCGTAGGGAATTAAAATAACTGACCTTTTTTTTTTTTTAAGAGGGTGGAAGGTGGGTAGGATGATTGTACTTCTGAAAACTTCATTGGTTTATTCTTGTGGAAAATACCAAGAAAATGTGTTTGCTCATTGCTAAATATGACATATATTTTATATTTATTTGTTCCAGTGTCTTTTTGTAAGAGGAGAATAAACAATCAGGAATTACTGATCACTATTTGCTATTTTATTTATTTCAGATTTTTCTTAGAGCTTAATTGAAGAAGAGTGGTTTGGGGTACGTTTCTTGTTTGTGCTTTATGTTTTGAACTCAGTCAACATTATAGACAGATTCTCCAGACAGATTATAAATGAAAACCCAACAAATAGTTGAGAATATAATTCCCCAGTTTACCTTTGGGCAGTTGTCCCTCCTCTCCCTCTGTTCCCCAGTACTTCTGTGGATGTTTTAATTAGCTAGTGTTTTCTGTATGTTGGGTTAATGTTTTCTGTTTTTGAAAATACGAATACCTGTCATATGTATCATTCCATTTAGTTTTGAGCACTATGTGTCCAGTGAGGTGCTAGGTATAGGGGATTATAATAATGAAGAAATATAGTATATGTTTTCATGGGGTTAAAGTCTAATGGAGGAGACAAAATAAAAATAATTGCAAATTTTAATAAGTGCAATGATGGAAATAATACTGACTTACAAGAATCACAGAAGATCCTTTTTAGTAGAGGTAGTCAGAGTTTTGCTTTTGAAGAGGATGTAGGAAGCTTCAAAAGCTTGTCATTCCCAACTTAACGGAGAAAAATCTGGGAAATCTACAAAATTATAGCTTTTCTTGAGGGTATCGAAGAACTGAGATTGCAAGTCAAGCAGGTAGAGTGAATCTCAAAGAGTGATAAGCCCTCCAGGGAGAGATGGGACATACAAACTATTTTATCTTAGGAAGAACACAAGAGAAAGAGGTGGCCACTATATAAGCATGTAACAAAACACTAGCAAAAATTTTAACAACTTCTTAAAGGCTGTGTGTGGGCCAGTGTATCAGTTTGGAATAGCCAAGAGTCTCAAATAAAGGGACTTCATACACATTTACAAGTTCTTTCCCAAGGGTCTTTACCATGTGCTCAGAAGAAAGAATGGAGCAGGGCAGGGAACCGGAAAGTCCCAGCCAGTGGTTCAGGCATGCAGAACGTAATTGGTTGCTGCTGGGGATAGGTATGAAACCCTTGCCACTTCCCCCAGGCCCTTCTCTTGAAGGATGCAAAAGCCATAGGCTGCTGTGGAGAGGATCAACAAACCATGTCACCCCCAGGACCTAAGCAAAAATCCACTGCTTCTGAGGGAAGAATATAGGCAAAACCTATCTGCCTCTGGGGGGCAGGGTAGGAAATGCTCTACCTTCAGGAAACAGGCAAAGAATCATTACTGCTAGAGAAGGAGTAAAAGCAAAAATTGACTTTGGAGGAGGGACAGAAAAACCATCTGGCCTAGGGCCCACATTGATAACAAAAAGAGATCTGCTACCAGAGGGAGATGGGCATGAAATTCTAACACACGACCAACAATAGATTCAGAGTAGAGTTTGGCCACCACTGGGAAATGGGGCAGGAATATTGAGTAAGCCACTCCCCTGAGGGCCAGGCACACAAAGCCTGCCTAAGACAAGCTAGCTAAGGTCAACAGAGAAAACCTGTGCCCACTATGAGCCTAGCACTAAGTAACAAGGAACACCAGCCTGTTGTTGAAGAGTGTAGATACAGATCCTTTTTGGTGTAGACATGCAGGGATCCCTGGAAAGTAACGGTGGGATTCAGAAGAATCCTCCTGTGCTCCAGGTGCACTATAAGCGCAAGGTAACAGCAGTCAACTGCTGGAAGAATTTGAAGCCTGTGGTGTACTGAAGATAGCAGCAACAGCACTATAGTCCAAGCTCATACAAACTCCTATCTACATTGACACAATCCCCAAACCAATGGTCTGACAGGAGTGTGCACATTTCCAGGTGCAAACACAATATAATCTCATACCTTTTGTTATACACATGCTGTCTGACATTCAATCAAAAATCAGCAGAACTCAAGTATAGTATTGATAACACCAAGGCCAAGGGTTCGGATCCTCATACTGGCTAGCCACCAAAACAAAACAAAACAAAAACTCATCAGCGATGACAGATGTTGGAACTATCAGACAGACTTTAAAACAACTGATTAGTGTATTAACATATCTAGAGGAAAAAGTGAAAAATCAGGGATAGGGAATTTCAGCAGAGAAACGGATAAGGAAGAGTCAAGTGGAAATGCTAGAAATAAAAAAACTACAATATCAGATACAGAGAATTCCTTCAGAAAACTTGATTCAGCTGAAGGAAGAATCAGTGAACTTGAGAGGTCAATAGCAATAATCTAAACAGATCCAAAGAGAAAAAAGAGTAGTGGTGTGCAGAGCTAGCGCTGGGTCTGGAGCTCACAGACCCCTCAAGTCTATTGTCCAGACCGGGTCACAAACCCTTCACATGCAGGTCTATAAGCTAGGTAACAGGAAAAGGGTCCTTGGAGCCTTGATTGAAGGAATAGTCTTTATTCAGCACACACACATCTAAGAGCTAGACAGTCCAAAGAGAAACTGAGCAGCTGCCAGCAAAGTAAACACACTCTATTTTTAGACATGAGCTCTGCTGTCCAGCAGTTCACAGGCTGCTTCACAAACTCTGAAGAACACACAAGAATAGCAACAAACTAAAAAGATACATGGGTGAGCCTGCCCACTAACTCCACCCACACACAACTTGTTTACAAAGAATGTGCTGCACCACCCCCAACTGGACCCAAGGGAGGGGACCTGACTAAACTATTCTATTTTCCTCACATGGGAGATAAACAGTACAGAGTATCAGTACTGTGGGACAAGATCAAATAGTCTGATGTATATTATTGTAGTCCCAGAGGAAGTAGAGACAGACTGGGGATAAGAAATATCAAAAGAAATAATGGCCAAGAATTTTCCAAAGTTAATGAAAAACAATAAATCAGATCCCAGAATTTCAGAAATCCCACATCACAAGTCAAACTAGTGAAACCAAAGATAAGAGTAAATTTCTTGAAGACGGCCAGAGGAAAAAGAAACATTACATATAGAGAAAGAAACATAACAGGAATAAAAGGTCTGGCATGTAAGGAGCTTGGAAGTCATCACACCATCTTAACAAGTAAAAAAACTGAACAAACTGACATGTTTGTTCTTGGATCTGTCAGAGAAGTGAGGTCACAGGGCAAACTGCTATTCCCAAAATTGGAGCAATAGCCGGGCAAATACAGAGAATCACAAATTAATGGAGTAGAGGGCCAGCCCATGGCTCACTTGGGAGAGTGTGGTGATGACAACACCAAGTCAAGGGTTAAGATCCCCTTACCAGTCATCTTTTTTAAAACAAACAAACAAAAAACAAGTTAATGGAGTAGAAATCCACAAGCAGAAACCTCCATGTGAACTAGTGCCAGGGTAGGAAAAAAATCTAAACTGTAATTGACAAATTGCCAGAGGCTCAGTGTGGACAAGTCTGAGATTTAAAAACTCCAGGGTGACTCAATCAGGGGGACCCACTGCTTTTGGGAGTTTTATCTCTAGGAGCTCGATCAGATTCTCACAGTGAAGACTGGCCAAAAATCGCTTTGGGCTTTCAGCAGAGGGAGGGAGAAAGAAACCATTTTGAAATATGCCAAAGCATTCTGTTCTTAATGGAGGCCTGCCCTTAAGAGAAACTATTTTACTACAGCCTAATCTATTGGAGTTTTTTCAGAGCCTAACTGACCTGGGGGAAGGAAATACCCAACTTCGGCCCACTTTAACTATCCTGTCCCACTAAAGGTGGAGAGGGAGATACTGAGAAGCACCCATGAAATTCTCAGTCTAGAGGTACAGGCTCATTAAAAGACTGAGACCTAATCATAGGACTACAGTACACTTTCTCTTTCCTTACATCTTACCGCCATGTTACTAAAGACCCATCGACTGGCCAGTTAACTCACCTGCTTAGAGCATGATGCTGAGAACACCTAGGTTAAGGGTTCAGATCCTTACTGGAAAGCCACCAAAAAAAACATTTAAAAATAAATAAATAAAGGCCTATTTACTGCAGTTTCTTTTACCTGATTCATCACATCCAGCTATCAAGAAAAAAAATTACAAAGCAAAATAAAAGGTTAGAAAAACACAATTTGAGGAGAAAGCAAGTATCAGAGCTAGACTCAGATATGACAGGGATGTTGAAATTATCAGACCAGGAATTTAAAACAGCTGTGATTAAAATGCTAAGGGCTCTAATAGATAAAGTAGACAGCATGCAAAAGCAAATGGGCAATGTTAGCAAATAGATGGAAATTCTAAGAATAAAAAAACGCTAGGGATAAAAAATACTAACACGGGCTGGCCCGGTGGCGCACTGCTACAGTGCGCCGCTTGGGAGTGCGGCGGCGCTCCCGCCGAGGGTTCGGATCCCACATACAGACCGGTTCCTGCTCACTGGCTGAGCGAGGTGCGAGCGCAACACCGAGGGTTGCGATCCCGTTGCCGGTCCCGGTCCGGTATGGGCGCGACACTGAGGGTTGCGATCCGTTGCCGGACACGAAAAAAGACAAAAAAAAAAGGAAAAAAAGAAATACTAACACAAATGAAGAATGTTTCTGATGGGCTTATTAGTAGACTGGACATGGCTGAGTAAAGAATCTCTGAACTTGAGGGGATCTCAATAGAAACCTTCAAAACAGGCCCAGCCCGTGGCTCATTTGGGAGAGTGTGGTGCTGATAACACCAAGGCCACGGGTTCAGATCCCTATGTAGGGTTGGCCGGTTAGCTCACTAGGGAGAGCAAGGTGCTGACAACACCAAGTCAAGGGTTAAGATCCCCTTACCAGTCATCTTTTTTTTTAAAAAAAGAAAGAAACCTTCAAAACAGAAAAGCAAAGAGAAAAAAAAAAGACTGAAAAAACAAATCCAACAGAATATTCAAAAATGGGGGGATAACTACATAAACCTTCAAAACAGAAAAGCAAAGAGAAAAAAAAAAAGACTGAAAAAACAAATCCAACAGAATATTCAAAAATGGGGGGATAACTACATGAGGTATAAAATGAGCATAATGGGAATGATTACCAGGAGAAGAAATAAATAAAGGGACAGAAGAAATGTCTGAAGAAATAACGACTGAGAATTTCCACAAACTG